TKSMTATAACTATTGCACAAAAATTAAGTACATTTTTCTAAAATCTTAATTTCAGTCAAACCACAAGACAGGAGTGATTTTTTTCATTTATATTKGAAAAAATGCTTTTTAAAGTTCAAATTTAGTCAGGCTGATTATGAAGAGGTTTTGCTTATCCAAAGCAAGGAATTGGGAAAGCATCAGCTAAAAATGACTTTAAAAATCTTTTATCTTATTTAATAGCTTACAAGGAAGTTCASCTAGTCTGACCAAAAAACAGAGCACAGGCACGCAATAAAAATGGCAGCAGTGTAAAACATGTACAAATCAGATCTACAGTTTAGAAGGATGTTTATTACATATTACATGCATAAGTTGTCTCCATATATTCAGATCTCTATGTGGCTGTATTAGGTTTTCTGTATTTTCTCTGTTAATTAGATTTAAATAGTTTTTTGAACATGGTATAACTCTGGGAATTAGCAGCCATTAAGTGAAGACTTCAGGTTCACCAAACTGCTTGAAACATGGTATTTAATTCATCACACGAGCAACCCAAAGCAAATGTGTTCTGCACCTCCTAAATAATTACATTATTAATGGCCTACCATAAAACTAATTAGTTATTTTAAGTGAAAGTGAGAAGTATTACATGTAGGTATGCACAGCTGAGGTGAATACAAAGAAGCAAGTTCAGATAATTTTTTTAATGGGTTGTCTTTCCTTTATATCTCACATTCTGTATTCATCATTCTTATTAGAAGAAGATTTGTATTTCACTTGTAATTAACAGAAGATTTGCTCTACTTTTGTCAAATACAAGTTACCTGTAAATAACTGAGTGGATGATTGCTGATATTTTCAGCACAAAGTGATCAGCATCATTTGGCTTTTCACCAGAATATGAGCAGAAGAGGCAACTGCATCTAATATCTACCAAACGTTTAAACATAAATAAGTAAAGTCACCATGGTGCTGAGCGCCTGCAGTCTTGAGCTTTGGACACAAGCATTTTGCACTAATATGCTGCTCTGGAACTGTTTTAATGGTATCTTTAAAGAACTGCTATGACATTTGCTTTCACTAACCAGTTAAACGAACCATCGTTACTAAACACAGAGATCTAGATGAAGTTCCATTGTACAAGCTCCTTTGATTTTAAAAAAAAGGTAAAAATGCAATTTTATAAATATTTTTAAGAGATGCCGTTTGCTTCCAAGTCAGTGTATTTATTTTTATCTTGTAAAAGCTACAAAAACAACCAATAGATTTATGCTGTTCCACTGCAGAAACCTGTTTAGCCACGGATTTACACCTGTAGCAACTGTATTTAACTGTCATCTTGGCTAATTACAGCTAACTGCATATTACCATATAGCACACTCAACTTTCTGAAAGAAATATGTGGTTTTGTGTTAAAAAAAAAAACTTCCTGAGGGCTAATGAACAAAAATGCACTATTCTATATGTTAGACTGCAAACCTAAACTCTCTGAATTGGTGCTGTAAAACTTTAAATTGCTATTTGTTGGCAAGTTGTTTTAGCCTAAAGTACTTGAATTGTAAATCACCATTACACTAATACCATACCTTCAGCCTGAAGTATATTAATCTTCGTTAACAACTGACATTTACATTTACCAATTCACTTCAAGCATCGTGGGGACTAAACATATATGCAAGACCTTAAGAAAAAAAAACAGTTATTAATTTTGAATGCATCCTTCCTGTTCACTGAAAAAATCTGAAGAAAGATTATAAGTAACAGGAATTGATGAACACAAACATTCAAGTCATAATATGTAAAACGTTTGACTTGGAATAAAAGAACTGCATTCTCTTGAGTGCTGATAAAGCATCTAAAATCTATTACATTGTAAAGTTGATATCTGCACTTCTACACTTAATCTCCTCAAAAACACTGGGATTTTGACATCTGAGCTCTTGCAAAGAAAAACAAAGTACAAGTTTAGACCATTTTGAAGACTAAGGTACCAAGACATGATGAATAGTACCAGATTTTCAAAAGTTGGTGGAAAACGTTCATTTCCTCTTTTCCCTTTTTTTTCCCCTGTTTACTAAGCAATAAACCCACACACAGAAATAACAGTAATTTTAAACAGGGAGGGTAGGTTTGCTCTGCCCCCTGCCTTTATTTATTTATTTAATATAAATAGAAACCTTGAGCATTCTCTTCAATGCAGATAAAAATACTTACTGCAGTATGTCTGTATAACTTAAGGAAATAAAGCAACAACTTATTCTTCTCCCTATACCCACATACCACTGTATTGTAATTACACCCTGACACAGAAGAACACATTTGAATCAAATATTTTATTACATCTTTGAAGGATTCTCTGTCAGACTCCAACTTGGTGTTATCTACAATGATTTATCCTGCATTTTCACATTTTGGAGAACAACAGTATCTAACTACCTAGATACTGTTAGATATTTGCTACCTCACAATTGAGACTTGAAGATCCTGTATTCTAACAGCATTAAAAGAAACACAAAGAATTTGATGCATTTTTAATAACTGCATTTTTTTTTTATTTCAATGCAAGAAAAAGTCACCCACAAAGATTCTTCAGATAAGAACAGGCATATGAGTCCTGAGGGAAACAAGAGTCACATGTACCCCATGTTGCTTTTTGTTTCCCACCTTTTCTTAGCTTCAAATCTGAAATGGAACACAAAAACACATTAAAGATCACAAATGTGTAATATTTCAAGAATTCAGGCATACCATACTTTGTGATAGCAATTAAGAAATAACAGAAAAACACYACCCCCCCCAGCTTTAAAAAAACAGGTATTGCCTGATCAAAACAAAAGACAAATGTAAACATGATCAAGACTGTGGTAAAGCCTCCCTATTTAGCCTCAACAGCACAAACCAAATCCACAACAAAACAAGAAACCCAAGCTAAAACTAGCAAATAAAATTAGCAGAAGTGCATTCCAGCTAAGGAAAGAGTTAACTGAATTTGCATTGTATACATTTAGCRCCATGAAATCACAAATGCCTAGTTCTATGCTCAAAATGGCTCACCCCCAAGCAAGCTTCTTTTTCCTTCGAGCTTCTTGGGCAGCCTCTGCTTCTTGTTTAGCCTTTACAAAGTTGCGACAGGCAGTAGCTTTGGCTATTTTCACTCCAAGCTATGAGGCAAAAAAAAAAAAAAAAAGAACAAATAAAGTCACATTGTGAAACATAAGCCCCACGAAAGAACTCGTTTACTACTGATTCTCAAGAGCCATCAAATATTTTAGTACTTAGGCTGATGTTGTAGTGTAAGATTGGATGGACAAGAATGTCTCAAGATATACCAAGGAGTGGGATCCTAAGCAGGCGATCATTTTCCATAYTAAATCTTTCAATTTAAAGAAAAAAAAAAAGAGAAAAAAACAGCTAAAACCAAAGGACAAAAGCTGTGACTCTGCACTTCCTTCCTTTACCCTTCCTTCCTCTGCAGACTCTCAGCTGTTTTAAAATGATAGTGCCAGGCTACCATCACTCCATTTCCTTGAGTTCCTGTAGTCATTTTTTAAATGAAGCACTGTCCTTAGACTCCATCTGGCTTCATAACAGGCTTTAAGGGAATACTACTTTGCTTTCATAAACTTATTTACATCATAAGCTAAATCCACATGAGTATACATCAAGGGAAAGAGAACAAAAGAGAAAAAAATGAGGGAAGATGACATAGTGAACTTTGACCAAATATTTTCTTCAGATAACATTCATAACATTGCTCATTTTAGTTATATTCTTCAATTACTGTAATCACTTAACATTTTTTGGAACTAAAGTACAACTTACTGAAGAATTTGGTTTCAAAAGTTACCACTTTCCTCCAAGACAAGAGGCAAGAAAAGAATTTAAGCAAAACGGCTCTGAGCTGTTATGCTGGCAAAACAGGTTTTCTTTCTACCTAAACCAAAGCCTACTGAAATCAGCTATCATATTTCTAAATTTTACAGTCTTTAGAGGATCAAAGAAGAGGCACAGGAAGACCAAGTGATAGAAACCTTGAAAATTTTGGTAAAAATTCTCTGCTTCATACTAATATATGTCAATCTGCTGCATCTATATATCTGCATTTATGCTGAAAGATGCATTGTCCAAATAAGATGAGACACGGGAGGGAGTCAGGAGGATGGGGTGACCTCTTTTCAGTGTTGGCCACTGACAGGACAGGAGGGAACAGCTACAAACTGAAGCACCAAAAGTTCCACATGAACTTAAGGAAAAATTTCTTGATAGTGAGGRTGGCAGAGCCCTGGAACAGGCTGCCCAGAGAGGYTGTGGAGTCTCCTTCTCTGGAGATCTTCAAAACCTGCTTGGAYGCAGCCTGTGCCATGTGCTCTAGGTGACCCTGCGTGTGCAGGGAGGTTGGACTGGATGATCTCTAAAGGTCTCTTCCTACCTGAGCCATTCTATGACTCTATGACTCAAGAATGCATTTGCAGTTATAGTTGTTGAGTGTGTGCCAGCACACCCATCCTCAGAATTCTCCCACCTAGAAAAGCTTCAGGCTGAAGTCCTGATTAATAGTTTAAGATGAAAGACACGGGGGAAAAAAATATATAATAAATACATCTGTCTTGCTGATCACACCATTCTCTTACAAGCCAAGAAACTACTCTGCACAAGGCTGAGTAGAGCACTAAGCATCCTAACAGTCTAKGTTTTGAGATCCTAAACATTGGAGCAACAAACAGTTAAGATCATGCATAATATTCAAGGAATTAYGTGAGATGACTAAAGCTAAATAACTATTTTACCTATTTTTTGCATGTATTTTTGGCTCACAAAGACACACCTATGGAATTATCTTGATGTGCAACTAGATCATGCGATCACACATTTAAAATTTTTGATTTTTTTTTTCCCCCCTCTCTGAGCAGGAGCAGCATTTAATATTATTAGTAATTCAAAAGCAGTATTTAAGACTTGACATTCAGACATTAAGTGACAATGTAAATAAGAGAATGTCACGCTCTGGAAGCCACTGACCAAYTTAAGAGTAGCTGCTAGTTGTGTGTGACACACTTGCACTACAAAAACACCTAAGAAAGCTCAACTTAAATTTTTAAATAAATTGTTATCTAAGACTGGGTTACTGACTAGATCAAAAGACACAGTAATTTGATGACAGGACAATGTATTCAATCAGGAAAAATATGCTTTTAAATATTATTTCTGAATTGCATCATTTCTGAATATCATCTAATACACTCCAAAATTAACTCTTATCATATAAGGCATTATTTTATCTCTYTAAATATATTAAAGATTTATACATATAAAATTGCATGCAACTGAGGCCTATACAAGTGCAAAAAAAAATCTTTTGATTTTTATTTCTTGGAAAGCAGAATGAATTCTTCCATCTTGAAAGGTATGGAAAAATGGGATAAGGAGATTCTCTGTAGTAAATGCGGAAGGAAAAGGAGACACATTCTGCAGCACTAGTGTTATCATTTCTAGGCTACATAAAGAAACATTTGCAAGACATGAAAACAAATGTGTCACACAGAAAGGCACAGATAAATTTTAGCCATATTAAACACCACCTGCTCCCACACCAAGACATACATCTTCACTTCCCCTCCCAAAAGAAATCCCCCAAAGCTTGGGCAATGGGCCTTTCAGTTAATAAAACAACAAAAATCCCCCCACRTTTCAGGTCATCAGATAACTCAATAAAATATAACGTTAAAAGAAGTGCAAAAACATGAATAAAAAATATATACAACAATTTCTTGTGTAGTCAAAGTATCAGCATTTTCCATATAGAACATCCAATATTTTGCTGCATTTTAATTAAGGTGTCTAAACATTATCACAAAGAACTGCAAATTGGTCAGAGCACGCAGTAAGGAAAATTAAGCTCTAAAGGCTTTTTATCACCATATTTCAGGAACCAAGGGTGTAAAATGTTCTAATTTGGGATATATTAAAAGCCATAAAAGGTCTTTCAAAAAGATTAATGGTACTTTGCTTGGATTTAAGATAAGGGCTTTAGCTGGTTGGAAAAGCAGGGCCCTGGCTAGACCCTTGAGGCATTCATCTTTACAGCCACTTGGAAGATTTGTAAAAGCGTCTGCATAACCTCAAGCAAACGCACTGCGACATTTTTTTTTTAAATTCCTTTCAATTTTACAGGTTTAAAGTGTGTAAATCATATTGGGCAGTAAAACTGATATAATAGTTCATCCTTGTAACACAGTATATAAATATATATATATTTATGACAAACTTTAAAAAAAGAAAAAAAACAGTTTCTACAGGGCAAAAAAGCCTCCCCTTTTGAAATTCACCAATAATCATGTCAAATATCTTACTATAGATGTTAATGTAACATAAATGGAAATTTCTTCTCCCGTTATATTTCATAAAATTTCTCATCTGAAATTGTTACCTTGTAACAAATTTCCAAAGCTTTTTTTTCCCCTCTCTCTCTCTTTAAGAACAGTTTCAAGGCATTTATTTAAAAATACCAATTATCATACTTTAACTTTTTATGGAATAACAGGTTTCTCTGAAAAATATTTATGCCACTCTCTTTTGTTCTTTAATTAAATGAAAACAGATGTTTTCTGAAGTAAAGCGGAACCATTACTGGAGTACTTAAAGTGTTAAGGTCTTTAATTTTTATATCAGTTTGGTCTACAATTCCTGATTGTCTTTACTCAAGCTCAACATTAATGTCAAGCAAGTTACCTAGGAGACGAAAGAGATCAAAGAGACAAAAAACCCTCAAATGTCTGATTAATCAAGCCTGCAAACAGCTTATTTCTTTTAGCCTGCATGCAAGTATGAAAATGAGATTCTGGGAGCCGTACATTGTGCAGATTTGTTCATTCTTATCAGAACAAAGCCAGCGGCAGCTTATTTCATGGATCATTGGCACTGTCATCAGTGCTACACAGAACGGGTGACAGCTCCTCATTTTGAGGCTTGAACAAAATTAGCAAAAAGTCGGCACAAATTAGCCTCTCATCTTTTTAGTAATATGACATTATTCATTTACTTTTTATCCAATTTTTAATTTTTTCCTTGTCAGCTATCCCTTTCTAGTGTTTCTTGCACAGCATCATAAAACACTTTTAAAACAAGTGAAGAAATGGCTGAAGTTGGAATAGTATGTAAAGTTCAAGCAGAAGAGTAAACATTTTATTAAGTTGCAACAGAATCCACTGTAACTTTGAGAAAACTTGAAATTCTTGACATATTTAACTTGAAAAAAAATATAAACCAAAAGATTTTTCATTAAAAAAAATCACATTGTGAAATACCCACATTGATGATACAAATCCAACAGATCCAAGAATTGCTCCAGAAATATTTAAGTGTGACATATAAAATGCAAAACCCACAGAAGCTCTAACAAAACATCTATATTCAAACAGGTCCTGAAATATCCTATGGTCATATCAGAGAAGCCAAACAGCCTTATAATATAGTGTTACAGTTTCTCATCAAGTATGAATCTAGTTATTTCAAGCTTGCCTTTAGCAACGATTTTCTCCTTTTATGTTATGGAATGTTATCCATTGCTGACGTATATAAAATATATAAAGCAAACAAGAATACMGAGTGGATTTTGCAGTGAAAATTGTCCCCTTTCAATGATGTGCTCAACTTCCCCTGTAAAATAGTTTGTAATACCTTTGTTGTATTTTTATGCTGTGTATTACAACACCAAATTATATTTAGATGACACAGTAATGGAGCAAGGACAGGAAAACGTTCTCACATTTAAGCTCTTCTCTAGATTTAAACATTTAAATGCAAGCAACTTCTCCCATTCATGAGAAAACACAGCATTAAAAAATTAACTATAAGCTGTTAGATGCTTTACACAGCTGCCTTATAAGAAAGGCAGTTTTAAAAAAAGAACTGTAGTACTGTTTTCAGCAATTTCTTTATCTCTGTTCTTCTAAGTAAGAAAGCTTATTAACAAGCTTTGAACTTAAAATCACATTTACAATAATGTGCCATCAACAGTTTTATAAGCTAATTAGAAAAAAAGATTAATTAATGACTGGCTGCTAATAAAATGGCAATCATGAAGAAAGAAACCAAGGGTGCTAAGCTTCAACTACCACCAATTAAGAGCTAATTACAAACAAATTATATATGTGTTTTGCTG